TAAAACGGTAACTTGGTCAGCACTTAGGATTGTGCTTAGCAAATGGAATGGGCAGTGTTGGAATAGAAATGCTGCAGAAGACGTCTCCATGCTCTGGTTGAGCCATGACAGGGTACTTGAAATGTACATCTCATACCTTCCCACTCAGAAGAGCTGGRTTTCACAAACAGTGACTCAGAAGAGAACAAGCCACAACTGAAGGAAATACAAGGATTCCAAATTAAAAGATTCATCTAATTTCCTACATGTAGGGCATCAATTAAAACTCCTGTTTTCAGGTGCAATATAAAAATACACTTCTGTAAGGAAAACTGAGCCTGTGAACCACCAAGGTAGACCTTGGGTCCATTTTCCATTACTTCTTTCTACTTTTGGACAGTTCTCCACTTCACACAGAAGAGAAATTGTTTTCCTTTCCATCCTTTCCGCTTCTGTGCAAACTGCAAGTGGGGAGAGCGAGACAGGGCTGGTGCTTCCTTCCATCCTTGGGCTGCAACATCAGCCCTGCCCAGTGCCGTGTGGGCAGTGGAACCACCAAGCACCAGCAGAGCCACTGCAGGCAGGGGAGGTGCTTGGTGGTTCTGCTGCCAGGATGTGATGCTGCACACGGGGCTGCAGAGGCTTTCATGGTCACTGCTTATTAAACATTTCTGATGCTGACGCGGGAGAAGGGGAAGTTCTGACTCACCGCTCCAAAGGCTGRGCATCTCCACGGGACTGAAAGGTGCAAAAAGCAAGAGTTTTATTTTACTAAGTTACTAAGTCACCAAGCTGCTGGGAGATATGACTGCTTACAAGCAGAAAAAGCAGATCTGCTGGTTAGATGGCTAGTTTACAGGGTATTTTGTCAGTTTAAGCTGCCTACAGAAATAGAAAATTTTCAAAGAAAATAAAGCTGCAGTGCCTAATGCAGCCCCTTTGCCCCAGCTCCCCATTAAGATCAGCAGTAGAACAGACAGAAATGCTGGTGGCTGCTTTTTCTAATCTATAGTRCCACACTGTTTTATTGAATAACATATCTATTTATCATCTAGTCCTCTTCATCCCTAGCGTTCTGAACACCTTTATCAAAGGTGTCCTTACACCTTTAAATCTACTTTGGAAGTAGAGCCACAGACGAAATGCTAATGAGCTTGCCTTAATTGTAAACATTGAGCACTGATAAGAATGAAACTCCATCCTCTGTTCTAAGTTCTTACGTGTTTCCTACTTACACCGCTTTTTATCTGATTCTCCTTCACTTCTGTTCTTAGGCAGATTAATAGGCACCTGAACAGACAAATAACAGTACTACATCTCCTTCACACCCTTTTGACAGGCTTTTGAGATTGTAAAATTTTTTTTTGAAAATTATTATTGGAAAAAAAGATTACTGAATGATCAGGCGGACAGCAATTTTTCAGGCTGGAACAAATMGTTCCTCAGCACTCACATGAATACATTTGTAACTTGTACTTAAATGCTGATGGGACATTTTTTAGAATGTGATAATTGTGAAATAGCCTGTAGTTTTATCAGTGTTGGTTGCTGCCCGTTCCTGCAAAAAAAGTTTTATTGTGATCATTAAGTTGCAGGTAGGCAGTGCCTCTGGACTGTAAAATAGGAATGTTAGTGTGCAGTGATGAAAGCAAACTTTGCTCAACACCTGTCTATATATATTGCAGGTTTCAGTGGCTGCCCAGTTGATCCGTTCACTCTATTGTCTGGGAATAAAGTCGTGGTAAGTAAGAGCAACTAAGACTGAGTTTTCTTTTCTTCTCTTTTGAAYTTGTTTAGCTTGCAAATCTAAAACTCTGCTTTTGCAGTTCAAGGAATGGCAACAGAGAGGTAATTCAGGGTACTGGAGTGGCATGTGAAATGTCATCCTCTTGTTAACATTTCCACCTCATTTTYCTTCAGCTGCATTTATATTTCAAGGAAGTGATAAAAAAAATCATAGCTGTGAAAACAAACTGTGCTTTTTTTCTGAAATTAGTTAGGCTTATTTTATTGAATATGATAAAGAAAAAATGTATTTTGTTAGCTTCTGCCAAAAAAGCCCCATCAGAAATAAATGCCTATAACAAAAGAAAGTATTGGTTTAACTACTATTTGGATTGAAAAGAAGTGAGTTTTTAAGTCATAGTAATCAGTGGTATTRGATACTGGAAAATGTCTGGGATATGATTAATGAAACATTGGAAGGAAATACGGTCAGTTCGTGTGTTAGCATAGATCTTGTGTAAAGCCTGTGTGCCTCGCAACGGCCGTGTCAGGCTATTCCTGATGGAAACATTTTCTTATGCTAATTTGGTTTGATACACGGTGGTAGAAGGAATACATTAGAGTCTAATGCAGTTTGCTCAACTAATGTGGCAGTAGGCAGAAATCTACTGGTTTCTCAGTAACTTTTATTATCAGCTCTTCCATTAGATCAGTAAGTCTTTTTAATGCCATTATTTTTTCCTCTTTTTATTCTTTACTGTGTGTTTTGTCTTTGGGATGGGGTAGATCTGCTCTATTTCCTTGTTGGTGGGGTTATTAATTTTCTTGTCATTTTATTCTGAAAAAGTAATTGTTTTATTTAAATACTTACTAGACATTTCTAGTAGTTCACTGGTATTTCCTGGCTCTGGCTCCTCCGTGGCAGTCTCCAGTGCTTTGCTTGATTGTGAATTCAAAAATTAATCTTTGGAATTTGTTCTCTCTTTCACATGCCTAGATATTAGCTCTCTTTGCTAGTTTGTTTTATGTGGTTTTTTTAGTTTTGCTATGTGTTAGATTCAGACATGTGAGCAATGAGTCCAATGGATCCATAGGCATAAACAATGAGCACAGTGCTCTGTTTTTGTAGCTCTCACATATCTTTTGCCTTTACTACTGCATGAGTTGAAAGTTTACATCCTGGCTAAGCCTGCTGACTTATTCAAAGTAAAAGCCCCAAGGAAGCAGCTGGTGCCAGAGCAAAGACAAGACTTGCTCCTAGCAAAGCTGAATCAYTGTTGGTGTTTATTTAAGTTGTTGCTGGTTCTTTGGCACCTGGGGCTTTGTGGCTGCTATGGAACAGGTTCTGGGGCAAAACTATCAGCTGATGTAAGGCTACTGAAGGATTTTGTGCTGTCTGAGGAGCTTTCTTTTCCTGTCTCTAGGTAATGTGCTTCTGTGCTGGAAATGGTGCATTTGGAGGGGAAAAAGACAATATTTCTTCAAACTTTGTATAAGAAAGTGTGCTATGTAGTTTGGTATTTATTTCTATGGAGTATGTATGATAAATATTCATATTTACTAAGTTCAGATTAGCTGATATGTCTTTAATATAAAAACTGTAGTGCTGTGGTGAATGATAAGGAAGTGATGTATTTTTGTAGAAAAGCTGAGACAGAAGGAGGGAGAGGGAGAGAGAGTGAGAGAGAAAGGGGGAAGCCTGGCTGAACCCAAAATCTGATATGGAGCTGCTTAAGCAACCTGTAGGTGCRTGTATGGTCATGTTGCTGGTTGTTGCAGTTATTACCAGTTAGTTTTAAAAATACTGCTCTTTTCTTCAGTGCTTTATATTTCATCTTGGTTTGACTGGGTCTGTTCCCCAGGAGTGAGATTGCTTTAAGGCTGAATGCACTGTAGCTCTTATGTCAGGCACTACGTGGCCTTTCAGCGAGCTGTCATGGGTGGAGAGGTGGGAACAATACTGCCTGGGCACACGCAGGTGCCAGTTCATTTTCTCTGTGTTAAGTCCAGCAAAACAAGTACATTGACAACTGTTTCTGATTTGAAACTGCAAAGCACAGAGAGTGCAGCCCTGCAACAGAGGCAAAGCTGTTACAGCCCAGTGAGTCACTGAGGAATGCAATATAGGGCAACTGCTTGACACCTCGGGTTGCTCAGATAATTCCCCAGAGACTTTAACTCTTTGAAATGCTGTAGTGAGAATATGGATATAAAAACCACAGGAGCCCACTTAGGCTCTGAGTTTTTTCCCTCTCACATTTTATTTCAGAATTGGAATGCCATTGATTATTTCCACCTATCTCTCTCTTAGGAGGGGGAGGGTCCAGTTTCTTTTGAAGTTAGAAAGGATGTCACACATGGTTAGCATTTTCCAAAGGCAAGGAAAGACTATACTCACAACGAAAGAAGCGCACACGATGGTGTGAGAGGATTTGCCACGAGGTTCGGTGAAACGGACTGGATTACAGTTTGCGCAGGCATTAGTTTTCAGACCTTTGCAATATGCATAGCATATTGTGACCTGCCACTTTCAGGAGGAAATGAGCTCCCGTTTCGGCACCGCTCCCAACAGGTGGATATCCAAAGCGCCCGTGTATATCCCGATGTGGGCTCCATGGCTTCACCCTGGGTGCAGCACCTCGGCTGGTGTCCTGCCAGCCAGGCCTTGTGCATGGCACTGAGACACTGGGCTGGCACTGGGGTGGGCAGAGCTCATCACACCAACACCTCATGCAGCAATTGCGGCTGTCCTGCCTCTGAACCTGGACTGGTGTGTCCAGCTGAACACAGCAAGTTGTTGCCCTGCACRTTGTCATTGGCCCATTCTCTAACAYGTTCCTTTGTGTGCAGTTTGGTGCTCRAAAGTAAACCATTATTAGGGTTTTCATTGTCATTTATATTTTGCGTCAGCGATGTTTGGTCTTTTCCACCACACYTGACGTCAGCCTTTCYAAAGRCGTGTGTGCCCTGCCAGGGAGCCAYACGGTCACTTTGCCACCCCCCTGCTYACTGCTCTGCTCCTCCACAGCCCACACAGTGCCTACCGAGAACTTTCTTGAGGTGTTAATGTCTGTATTTGAGCCAGGGAAGAATTCTTTGAAGAGAAACAATAGAATGTAGATAATCTTTGTGGCACAGCAATTAATTAACAGTAAGTAGCTGTGGGTAGGACTCCAGCAAAGAGAGTATCAGGTGTCTCTCAACTATCTTCTCAGCTGTTCTTAACAAGAGCTGGGATCTGGGGAAGCTGACAGCTTTGGTGGCACTTCAAGGATCTAGATGGTTCTGTTGCATCAGTCCTTGGTACTACTCACAGAGCATGGGCCATTTTAGTAATTCCTCTGCAAATCTAAATGCCCAAATCTAATTGCCCAAGGCAAATGCTGCCAAATCTACCTTCTCAAATCAGAGGTTGGCTAGGGTTCATATGAATAGCTGTATGCATATATCTATTAAAAAAGTTCCTCCACAGAGCTGATCAGCCCTCATTCTGTGATGTTTAATCACATAAAGCAAAAACAATTATAATACGTGACGTACCTGTGGGATTCTGAGCACCTCAGGAGTGTGGGAGATGCTTATTATGGAAAAATGCCCTGCCAAATTCTTGTATGGGGAGACTTTATTTAGGAGGCATAGAAGCTGTCCATCTGCTGAAGTTTTCAAGCTCCAGTTTCTCCACTGAATGCGTCAGCTCAGTTTCCATACAGTAATCATGCAGGCTGAATCCTTCATTTCCATACTAAGCGTAACAGAAGAGCTGTGGTACTGATGGCATCTCTAGGGATGGTGGTATCCAGCATATTCTGTGTCTCCATTGTTGGAATAAGTTGCAACTTCACATCTGACTTTCCARTATATTTTCATGATTGCATTTCACTTAAGAATCACTTGTGCAGAGCAGTTATTTTTTTAATAGCTCTTTAAATGCTGAACATATATAAATGAAACTTGTTTAACAAGATGGAGATGTTCTCGCCTGGGTGGGGCTGGAGATTGTTTTGGCATGGGTGAAAATGAGAGAATTTGCTTCAAGCAAATGGGAATCTTTGTTGAAACAAGCAAGAGTGACTTTTCTTTCATCTGTTCTAAGATCTTTGTGTATCTTGGGAGCTGCTTTGGGTCTTACACCACAGATGAAGAATGTGAAAAGTATAGTTTTGCTAATGGAATTGTAGAATATCTTTTCCTGGTAATGTGGAAGGGGAGCTACTCTTGTTTGTGGAGTATCAGAAAACAATACCCACCTGTGTTACAGTAAGACATGAGTGATTTTGTCCGTGCCATTTCCTTCCCAGCTAAAGGAGGAGGATGTGTGGCTTAGTGATGTGGGCAGGAACAAARCATTTTCATCATCAGCTACATAAAGGATTATGATTAAATAAATGATTAATTATACTCCCTCGGAGTGACTGCTAACCTCAGGTGAACCTTGTTTATGGGAGYGTGATACCAGCTCTGACTTTTGGAAGCTGGGCACAAGGGCTCTGTTTATGTGGAGCATTGGAGGCAAATTCACTGACCAGTGTTTCAGATGTGGGTGCCAGATGTGCTGRTCATGGGGCAGCTCTGACTGCTGCACTACTGACTCGTGCAGCAGACAGGGTGGAAGAGACAGACCTGAAGGTGAGACTTTTCTGGATAGGGTTCGCTTCTGCCATTCTTTCCACTGAGTTTTCAGATGTGCTGACTGATCTCACCAAGTCTGTAAAGGCAGAAGTCTTGTGGTCCATAGTGGCTCATCTTTCCATAGTCACCTTCCCCCTCTTTCATGTCCCTCCCTCTGGCTTCCAATACTGGTGAAATGAACAGGTGGGCTCTTCCAGGCTTGGCCTCCTCTTGTGCCTGAACTRGCTCTGTCGTGTTCTTGCGCCTGTGCTGGCAGGATTTGGCCATGGGATGTCTTACTTTTAAAGTTATTCTTTATTAATATTGCAGGGCATGTCAAGTGTGCCCAAAAGGGATCAGGAGGTTCAGAGAGAGAGTCAGTGTGATGTGGATGAGCTGGACCTTGCTGCACCAGCTCAGACACTTTTTTCAGCATCAGCTGTGAGGTTCAGGCAAATACAGACCTGCAATGGCCACTGCTCTCTAATTGTCCTCTTGTCCAGGCATGCAGCAAGCTCAAAACCCTGGGCTCTTCCTCCACCTTGTTCAGGATTCTCCTTCGTGTTTCCATGGGAATGAACCAGTAAAGGCAACAAGGCATTGTGTTTAGCATGCATGACCCAGACTAAGCTTTAGGGGAGAATATTTTTGTCAAGGTCTGTGTATTGAATTACCAGGTAAAGGCAGTGGCTTAAATACAGAAGGTGGAAGAAAGTAAAACGCTTCTTGCTGAAAGAGTTGAAATTAATTAAAGGGAAGAAATGCCTCCCTTTTGGAAAGCAGTGGAATCTTTGCTTTCATGACAGTTAAAAGTGCATGAAAATACAGATGTAAGGCAGAAATAATTTTTTAAATTTTGTACACAAATAAATAAACTGTGATTTAAAAATAATTGAGAAATCAATTTCACAAATAGAGGAATAACTCATAAAGATTTGTAAAAAATTGTGTTCAAGGGAAAAGTGCTCATATTCTGTTTTCATCTCCTTAGCTCTTAATCCTTATCRTATTTCTCACATACCCTGTTGTAAGTTGAATATTTTGGCTGGATGTGCATTTTAATCAACTCTCCTTTGTTAGTCACAGATCATGGCTCCCTGGCCAGAGGTAGAGAAACCTGAAACCAATAACTATATTGGGGACTCTTCCAAACAAAACCAGAATATGGCTGGGAAAGAAGGAGAAAACCACAAAGGTAACATGCTCACTTGTGAGTTATAAAGATATATAAGTTTGGGGGATCCTTGGAGAAGATAGAAGGTAATTAAATTGTTTTTTAATGTTCTATTTCATCAGGCAATGTGGCTTCACTTGGAAATAAAGGGGAAATTCAACCTGCATTTTCCACAGTAGCTTTGATAGATGAGACAAGGCCAGAAGAAGATGACCCATGGGCTCTGCCGGAACTGCAGGACACTGGGGTCAAGTGGTCAGGTAGCCATTTCTCCATGAAAAAAATTACCTATTTTTTTTTCCCTATCATTGTCTGACCTTATCCAAGAGTTAATAGGCATATTCTGTTTAGTCAATTAAGAAAAATCTTGAAATGATGCTGCTTACCCTCCTTAAACTACAAGGAGATGAATGAAAAAAAGTCCAGCACTAATATGGTTTTAYATCCAACCATGTGTTAGTCTTTCTTTACTCAGTAGAATGACTGTAAAACCAAGGGTCGATCTCAGATTTCATAAGGCTTTTGTCACATACCAAAAAGGTTTTTCTTGTGGTAAAAGTAGGTAAACTAAATACCTGCTTCTGCAGTTAAAATGTGATTAAGAACATTCTTTTGGGTTTAATCACACACTGGAGCCACAACACTGTCTTTGTCTCCACTGTCTCTGCTTGTGCACTAGCGTATTCCAGAGAAAAGAATGAAGTGATTMTTTTATACATAATGTATTTCTTTTGCAGAGCTGGATCGAAAAGGAAAAATCATTCGTGTACTGTATGGGATAGGGAAGTTCATTTTGCTACTCGGATTACTCTACAATTTCGTCTGTTCTCTGGATGTACTGAGCTCTGCTTTTCAACTGGTAGGAGGTATGAAAATATTTTAAAAATTAAGAATAAACTATGAATGAGGTAGTAAATTTTGTCTGAGAGACTTAATTGCAATTATTGCTCTTCAAGAACATTCTTCATATGTTTTGAGATTCAGAAGGAAGTAGCTCTGATTGAACAATGTCCTTCATTTGTTTGAAAGGGACTTTCTCTCGCAAATTCCAAAGATCTGTTAATGTAGGTGTTATTGGCCCTGATTTCCTGGTAGCTTCCTATTACTTTAGTGACAGTTTACATGAACACATCCCTGCATAGACATGTCCCACGTGAAAGACATTTCACCAAGGTGAATTATGAAAATTGGGCTCTTGATCAAGACATGTAGCGCTGAAACATCCTCCAAATCCTCCCAAGAYGAAAACTATTGAAATTTACTTTTTACATTTACCTCAAAGAGTTGAATTCAGGTGATGGATTCAGGAATGGTTATCAGAGAAATATGTGACCTTCTGTGGAAGTATTTTGCAAACACAGAAASGCACAGGAATAGAATTAATCAGTATTATTGAAAGAGTTTTCCCTGATTCAGTAATTAACAATGCCATGTAATAACATTTAAATCAAGSTATGGGTGTTTTTTTGTCCTACTGTCTTTTCTCTGATGGCTGTGGTATTATATGCTTCTCTATGGAGTTCAGTCGAGCCTGTTAGTCACTGAAATGAGAGAATATAAAGTACTTTCTAGTAACTGAGAAGCTGAGAGTCCAGGGCCTGAATCTGGATCCCTGGGCTACGTTGTACTTTTTTGGGCTAGTAACCATGGTTATATATGTATCAATCAAATGGCTTTGATCTTTAATTAAAAATTCTCATAATTTCTATGCACTTTACCTTGCCCTTTCCTCRCTCTGAGAATACACTTTTTTTAACAGGTAAAGCAGCGGGGGACATATTCAAAGATGATTCAGTGCTCTCGAATCCTGTTGCGGGGTTGGTGATTGGAGTTCTGGTGACTGTTATGGTCCAGAGCTCCAGCACTTCTTCATCCATTATTGTCAGCATGGTGTCCTCCACATGTRAGTCTGCTTACAGTGCTTTCCTAGAGATAACTCATAAATCTTATCTTGGGTGAAAACATTCCCACTTGTGTTCAAACTGTAAAAGCTTTGGGTATAAGAATAGAGACTTAGGAAAAGATTTTCACAATGGTTTCCCTGTTATAAAATCAATTTTTAAAGAGTAATTATAATGGTATTAATAGTAGTAGTAGCAATAGTAGTAGTAGTACCAGGAATAATAGTAACACCACAATCACAATGAAAATCATTGGGAGCCTAGGGACTGAATGACGATTTTGGAATTATCTGCATACTTTTCCCATGTTAGGCAATTACTGAACTTCATTGTTTCTGTGGTATCATTTCAAAGTTCTGCAGTAAATAGGCAAATGCATGGGAAAGAAGAAACTAGCTTACTCTGRTCCTCTACCATGTGGTGAAAAGGGGTAACCATGGGCCACTGTCTTTGGAGTTTCAGTGGGGATCATGGGACTGTGGCAGTGCCATGTTACCAGGAGGGTTGATTAAAGCAAATGTGTTTGGATTGSAGCACTTAATCCCACTGATATCAAAGGAAGTGAGGGTTTCACTGAATAGTAATAGAAATTTTCATTGAAGCATAGAGCTTTTTTCATTCATTGTTTCTTTTTCTGCTTTCCAGTGCTGACTGTTCGATCAGCTATTCCTATAATCATGGGAGCAAACATTGGCACCTCGGTTACCAACACAATTGTGGCACTTATGCAAGCTGGGGACAGGAATGAGTTCAGAAGGTATTGTACTTAAACACTAGGTCTGGAAAATTGTTTTTTCCTTTTTTTTGCAAGTYGTCTTCTGTGTTTCCTATCACTACTACAGCCATTCAGCCTTTCTAGACAGGAAAGTTACAAGCATGGTCATGGCAAAGGTATAATGCTGCCTACATATATGGCTTTATATACTTGAAGAAAATCATAYTGGGCCCCTTTACAAGTTTTGTGGTTTTGTAAGAATTCACTGTTTTTAACAATCTTACACAAAGATAAATTTTCAAGTTCTCCCACTATACCACCCACCTTTTATTTTGTCTTAGTTGTGGGAAGGCTGAAGAAGTTAATATTACATGAATTTTGTCTGGTTTCCTTAAAAGGGATTTCAATGTTGAAGGCTTTTAAAGTCCGCGATAAGCAAGAGCTGGTAAYTGTAGAGAAATTAAGTGTTCTGGCTGTCACATATATACAGTGACAACTTTTGGACTGCCACTTGACACTGCCACTGAGAGAGCTCATGGCTTACTGGGGATGGGCAGTAAACTTGGGAGGGATAGGAGACTTGGTGCCTTCTCATTTATGGCATTCTGGGCATATTGAAATAYTCCTAGCCAAAGCCTCTGAGGGAAGAGCTGTGGAGTTTGAGGAGACGAGAGATGGGAGCCATACACCAACAGTTTGCACGAACATGTGGGAGTGCTGCAAAGCCCTCTTGCCCCAGCAGTCAGGAAGGACAGGTCCTGGAGGCAATGACTGGCTGAAGATTAAAAATGTACCAAAAATGGGTGAGAGGGAAAACAAATACAGGCTCTACAGCCACATCTTTCTTCAAACAAGTASTCTTGGCAGCCTCATATTAAGGATCACTTTTGTCTTTTCTAGTTTTTCTTGTTTTACTCATCTGTCTGGCTTTTTAATTGGCCAACAGTGYGGAGACAACTTAGCACTCCATAACAAAGTAGCCATCTTCTTTGACCCCAGAAATTAAATGGTTCCCACCTTGAAATGGCCTTCATCTCCATTTTTATGATTTCATATCTAATTGATGTTATGTTTTGTTTCATGGAAAGCAACTATTTTTTATTTTCTTCTTGTAGGGCCTTTGCTGGGGCAACAATCCATGATTTCTTTAATTGGCTTGCTGTCTTTGCACTATTGCCCATTGAAGTTGTTTCTGGCTATCTCTTYCATCTCACCAACGTTATAGTTGAGTCCTTTCATCTTGAAAGTGGTGACGATGCCCCAGAGCTACTAAAAGTTATCACAGACCCCTTTACAAAGCTCATCATTGAGGTAAGCTCTTTCTCTCTTTAAGGAACCTGCTTACTTGGATCAGTCACTACTAACCAAAATGCTCTGAGTATGAGAAGGGTTTCCACTCCTTTCTCTGAGTCCTCAGGGACTCAGTTCATTAGCAGATGAATTCTTCTTGTTATTCACATTTCACAAAGCCCCAGGTCTGTACGTTCTGTTTCTACTTCCCCCACATTTCACCTTAGCACAGGCAGACCTTGCCAGGAGGACKGGGAAGGCAGGTGAGGACAAAAACAGCCATGTGGGATGGATGGGAACATTGGCAGATACTAGCTGAGACAACCTGCAGCAGCCAGAGGACCAGCATTGGACCTAACGATGATACTGAAATTATGGGACATAATCACATGTGCCTAGAGGCCAAGGGGCTACACACAACTTCTGAAGTGGCAGTGAATACAGTGAAGCAGTTGTGTCAGAGCAGCTGATTAAACAGAAAGGGTGAGATGAGGTAGTGAATGATGTGGGGAGAATGAGACACAGCATTTGTACCTGTAGAGTTTTACCTTTTTCTGGAGTAACCCCATTCCTGCCTGTTGGGCAGCAGCTCCAACATTAGAGACACGCCGTGCAGACTTTATAGGGTTGAGCTTCCAAAGGGGGTTATTTAAGTAAAGCTGAACACAAGTTTGTGATGCAAGTTGGAATAAGGCATTTTTAAAATTATTTTTCTTCTTATTTTTAAGCTTGATAAATCMGTAATAAATGCAATTGCTACTAATGATGAATCAGCAAAAAACAAAAGTCTGGTGAAGATCTGGTGTGTCACTGAAACCAATGTGGTGAGTATCATGCTAAATTAATTGTCAGGTACCTCAGGAAATATATTACTTATCTGTAGCTGATGCTCCTTATCATAGGATTGCAAAATTAGGTATTTTAATGAGRTTGGAGTTTTCCGAGCAGAAAAAGAATGAAAAAAATTTAATTTAGATTTGCTTCACTTAAACCAAGGATGGTGACCAGTGGTGACCTTGACCTAGGCTGTTTTCAGTACCATTCAGGCCCTTGCTTATCAGAACCAGTGGATTGGAGCCAGGTTTTTTACTCCTTTCACACCAAATGCCTTTAAACTCTGATACTCCACCAACTCCCTGAAAGTGGAAAAAATCTGCAACGTAGGCCAAAGAAAAGAGTGTTTCAACCATCGTTTATCTACTGATCTAATCAGTTTTAGTTTTACGTCTGTTAGGGTGATCTGGTGGCAGCTGGCTCTTTGCAGCTTTCTTGGAAAACTGCCCTTGGAGAAAGCGTTTGTGGGGCTGTGTCCTGTTATTCTTCACCCAAGCAGCACTGCAGCTTGGARGAATCTCTTGCCCAGATCGACACCAATGAGTATTTTGGTAAAMTGTGGAGCTGAGTGTTTGGTTTGCTTTGTTCAGCTAACTAGCAATTAGAGCATTAAATATCCTTTGATTCTCTAATTAGAGTATTCTACTTGTTGGCATGTATATAAAGTGATTCCTGAAGTCCTGAGGCAGAAGATGCTTAAGGGCACGCTGCRAAGGTTGAAATGAAGTGCCCAGCTCCTATTGAATGACAGTCTGGATGGCCAGTGAAATGCTACCTCTGGAGATAGTGCTGGAGCAGAGCTGTGCTCACCTGAAACCCTGCTCAGGTGACACTGTCGAGTCTCTGGATGTTCCACCCCGGGCCGGGCTGGGGCTGCGCTGCTGGGAGAGCAAACCCTTGTGCCCCTCAGTGCCCTGGCACAGCCCAGCCCTCAGCTGGAGAGCTCTGAGCCCCTGAGCCCTGCACAGGACCAGCAACTGCACAGAAAGTGTAGGCTGAGGGAAATATCTGTTTCTAGACACACACTTTTATCTGTGTTTGTCCATATTTTGGCTGCGTTCTTACTGCCCGAGCTTGTAGTCAGATTACAAAAATACGTGAAACCCTCAGAAGTTTGACTTGAATTTGGTGAGGGAAAAGGAAGATAATTTAAATTATTTACATTCCTAGTAGGTTAAACTAATTTCTGGCAAAAAAGATGAAACAGACTTATGTCAGGGATAAATACATGCAAGCATCATATGTTTAAAGCAAAATATGAATATTTTGATCAAATGCAGCTGCTTTGAAACTCGGAGTTTTGGAAAAAAATTCAGGAAGGTGAGAAACAGGATTGCATTGTGTTTGTAAAGGTTGACAGGATGGGGGACTCCAGATGCTCCCTGGAGTTGTGGGGTTGCTAGATCTACTCCCAGTTTTGCTCAACTGCAGCATCTGGACAGGAGTTCAAATGCAAGCATCTGTTGGCCGTACCCAGAAAAAAAAATTTCTCTTTCCCTATTTCTGCAAAAGRAAATCACTCAATCACTTTGAGAAGATACCTCATGTTCAGAAGCATGTTTCAGAGTCCATTTGCCTGTTAGCTGCTCTCATGTGGAAGTACAGCTCAGTCAGCAAACTCTTTCTTAATCTCCATAAGGACTTATGGACCTGGTGTCAGAATGCAGTATGTTCAGGCTAGGAGGGCTTACAAGGAAGGTTTTATTGTGGTATAAACAGAAATTCAGTAATTTAGTAATGCTAATCATAGTGCTTGTACTTAGCTCTTAGATAGCATTTGAACTTTGAAAATGAAAGTAGTAGCAGCACTTCTGTTTTTACAGACAGGGAAACTRAGGCAGAGAAAAGCAGCTTGAGCAAGTTGTGCTCAACCAGCAAGAGAGGCTGCACTGGTGTTGTATCATTCTGACTCCCTGMCCTGTAGTACTCACCAGACCACGAACTCGTTGAGATGTCAGTCCACAGGTCTTTCTTTGACCAAGGAAGCTGGAAAAGGAATGTCCCACAGCTGCAGCCAAACACAAACCTTGCTACACAAAGCCTCTCACGAGTAGTTAGCCACTAATGGCTTGGTGCTATGGTTATTGCAATGTAGAAGATTTTGGGGATATTTTAAACTTCAAATGTTGTACAGATTTACTTGGGTAACAGCCCAATCATTTATTTTAAGAATGTGAAAATTTCACCTTCTCATTAATGTGGCGTCCGCTTACAATTCTGACTTTTTAGTTGATGAATCTTGGCTGTAGCAAAAATCTAAAACTCTGCATGAGCTCTTAATAAAGGATTGCAGATGACTGAACTATCTGCTTTTTCTGGCAACGTTTAGACACTGCAGAATGTGACAATTCCACCTTCAGAAAACTGCACATCTCCTGAATTTTGCTGGACTGAGGGAAATACAACATGGACCCTCAAGAATATAACTGAAACAGAGTATATCAGTAAATGTAAGTAGTAGAACTCTTTCTCTGCAATGTCTTTACAAAAGCACATAGCTTTCTGATGGTGCTACCAGCCCTCTTCAGAGCTGGACACAGAGGAGCCTGTGCTCTGTTAGAGCTGCACAGCTGGAGTTACCAGCATCACCATGGGATCTGGCTGCACATGGATCTCTTTCCATGCTCCCTGATRCCAGTAATTGAGGTCTTCAGTATCATGTCACCCTTGATGTTCAGATGGCATGGAGCTACGGTTACTTGGCTGTAATGGTTGCTTGGATATCTCTATCCCTATGCATGCCCTGCAGGACTTTCAACAGCCCTTCTCAGGCAAAGAGAAGGGAAAAGCTGACTCACTATGCAGCTTGGAGCACCCTAAAATTKTCTCCTACCATTGTACTCCTCTACCTTGCATGTGGTCACCTAGTTCCTCCCTGCCCCATAGATGTGCCCATGTATTTTATAAGCACRTCCATAGAAGCTCCTCTCCTGCCTCACTCAGACATGCCTTTTGYGGAATAAGGGAAGTGGCATTTTCCCTGTTTGCATCAACCCCTCAAGCTGTGCGTGCTTTGGTCCCATTTTCTTAGGGGTGTGTATGAAAACCAGAGAGGGGCTTGGGATCACAAGTAAAAATGTAGGTAGGCTAATTCATTTTCCTTTTCTTTTCCAGGTAAACATATCTTTGTGAACTCCGACCTGCCTGATCTTGGCATCGGTCTCATCCTTCTGGCTTTGTCCCTGCTTGTTCTGTGCTCCTGTTTGGTAGCGATCGTTAAGCTGTTAAACTCTGTGCTTAAAGGACAAGTGGCAAGTGTTATCAAGAAGACAATCAACACCGGTAACTACCTGCTTTTCCTGARGATTGTTTTCAGCAAAGACAAGGACACTGAGCACAATTTATTGATATTTCCTGTTCTGGAAGATATTATAGAAAAGCCTAAAGAAACTGCTATTGAATGAAAATCATGCACACCCCCCAACATTTTTTCCCCCTAGCATGTTTTTTTTCTTTTGTTTAAATATCTATTAGTGAACAGCTTGATTGRGAAATGCAGCAGATTAACAGCATTAGAGACCAAAGTCCAAGCTGTGGTTCTTGATGTATAATCATTAGCTGTTAGAAATGTAAYGTTCCAATCCTCAAAAGATAGCACTGAAGTGCTGAGGTTGTGATTGCCTGTTCTGGCACAGAGCCTGCATGTTCCTTCCAAAGAAAGTTGAAAAACGTTTGTAGTAATTAGTGATCTTGCTCTGTTCTGCTGCCTAACCGTCTCTTCAGTAGGATAAGGCAGCCTTGAATAGAGGTATTTTTCTGTCTTTCCCTGTGCTGTCCAGGTGGTTTTTTTTTTTCAGCCTGGATCCATTGAGTGCAAAAGTTGGTTTTTTTGTTGGTTTTTNCACTAGGCTGCTTTTCCTTCATGCTCTCTTAAATGGCTGCTTTTCCTTCATGCTCTCTTAAATGGAGAGGTCAGAAGCTGTGGCAGAGAAAAGCAGTCCCAGAATAGGCAGATCTCAGGGTGTGGTTGAAGAGAGGGTTCACTAAAACGTGGAAGGCAACAAAGTGGTCCCCAAGCTGTCTTCTGGGCAAAGAACACGGACCAAATTAAAAACAAGGGGTAGAAAGTAAACAGCTGACAGCTGCTGCTTATTTCATTTGGGATCTGCTCTGTTCCTCTGCATCTTCTCAACTGACTAAGTCCTCACCTCTCAACTCTTTCTATAAATCTGCAGACTACAGGGCACCCTTGTGCCTAGTTTCTCTAATCAGTGTAACTTGCTGTTCTTTGCAAGAGTTAACAAGTAAATTTTAGGAGATAATCTGCTTGAAACCAGTTAGAACAAACAACCTGGTTTTCTCAGGMTGGTCTTCAGAGCTTCCTGAAGACYGGATCCATGCAGTGGCTGCCTGGTTGCCAAAACTAAGGCTCTCAAGATGCCAAGATGGTTTTGTATTGACCTCTGTGGAAACATTTCTGGTACCTAATTGTATTCCAACACCCTGGGACAGGAKCAGGACAAATGTCTACCTAGTCTAGTATCCATCTCAAAGTGTATCCAGTGGTGCAGGGCTGTGGAAGGAGCACAGCAGACAGAATAAATCAGAGTAATAGAACTGACTCTCATCTCAAATCATCATTAAGATCCCATATGCAAACAAKTCATCAACATTTTAAGTGCTTAATAGTCTTCACTGCTGTGTTACTGTTACATAGGGCATTCTGTTATGCTAACAACAGTGTTTTCCCTCTTATTTTTTAGATTTTCCATTTCCTTTTACTTGGCTTGCTGGATACCTGGCTATGCTTGCAGGGGCTGGTATGACCTTCGTTGTCCAAAGTAGTTCTGTTTTCACATCTGCTATTACACCCCTTGTTGGTAAGTTGTAAATACTGTGTTCTTTGTCCTCATGTTTTATCTTCTCCATCATTCTGAAACCGACTCAGTCCTGGTTCTTTTCTTGCAGGTATTGGCGTTATAAGCATCGAGCGCTCTTATCCCCTCACYTTAGGGGCCAACATTGGCACAACYACAACAGCTATACTTGCAGCTTTAGCAAGTCCAGGGAGTACATTAAAGTATTCATTACAGGTCAGTACAAAACAATGCTTCCTTGGCTTCATTTAGAAGTTGTAACTTTTCTGAAGAAAAACTTGACCAAAGTGGTTCTATTGCAAATATGCCGTTCTTGTCATGCCTGGTTTTATGTGTGCTGTTAATGACAGCGCATTCACATTAACTGCTAGAGCAAAAAGGTTACATTAAACATTCCCAGAATGTCAATATATGGTTAATCTCGCTTTCTTAAATTGGCTTGGCCTGAGTGAATGGATTCAGAACTGAGACAGAAGAGGCCACTTGAACCCTGAGTGTGGGGTCTTTGCTTGGAATTCAGTGCTCACATACTCAGAACCTCTCTGAGGGTTACTGACGTCTGTAAGCTCCCTTCTCAGGACCCTAACTCAGTTCATGCAGTGTACAGGGACTCCTGTAACCTAAGTGAAGATTACACTTCAATCCTTAAGCTGGCAAGCTCTATCTACCTGATACTGCAGCGAGCATCATGGCTTCTATTTTTCTCATTGTAAATGTAAACTGAGCCGGTTTTATTGAATTCCTTTYTGCCTCAAACTCTTTGAAAAGTAGGAAGCCTGGCTTTGGCTTCCATTTTCCACCCAGTAAAGAACCTGATAGCAGATCACATTTGAAWGAATGCTCTACATAAAAGAGGGAAAGGAAAATGACGTTTCCTTTGTGAATAGGATGAATGTTTTAACTGGCTAAAATAAATCAAGAAAATTACAGAAGTCAGTTTATTGTCTCCAGGCATGATAGAACAGATGTAATCATGAGAAGATGCTATCTTGACAAAGCTCAGATTTCATGATAACATGCCAGTTTTATAATGCACTTTAAAAATAAACCCCTGCACTTTCATAYTTACTTTAGTCTGATAACATTTACAAAATGAAAATATGATATGGTGAGCAGCAAATGTACTGTTTTGTTTAATACATGCTTATTMTGTCTAAGTAATTTCTGTAAGCTTTAGCAAGTCCATGCCTTCTAATGGTAATTTAAAAGAAAATTTTTTTTGAAGTATGTGACTCAAAGGATTGTAAAGATCCAAAGGCAAAGTCCCCTTCCCAGAATCTCTTCAGTGCCCTATAAAAGTATAATTTTTATAAAATCCAAGTTTGAACCATTAAAAATTTCTCTGTAGCCTGTGTGTAATATCGAATTTGCACTTCCCATGTTTTCATTGAATATTATGGAAGCAGAACCCAATAATGAACAATCCTCACACAGCTCCCATGCCTTATTGACAACAGTTTTCTGAGAACTGGAAGTAATTATCATGTGTGTAGGCATATTTAAAGGTGTTTTAGCTAATGAACTTCTCAAATGTTTTTGCTTTCAGATTGCCTTGTGCCACTTTTTCTTCAATGTCTCTGGGATTATTCTGTTTTAYCCGATACCTTATACCCGCCTGCCAATCCGCATGTCCAAGACCTTGGGAAACATAACAGCCCAGTATCGATGGTTTGCTATATTTTATCTTCTCCTCTGTTTCTTTCTTTTGCCTTTGCTTGTATTTGCTCTGTCATTGGCAGGCTGGGCAGTCCTTTTGGGTGTTTGCCTTCCCATTGCTGCTGCTTTTATTGCTGTGGTTGTAATTAATGTTCTTCAGAAAAGGCGGCCACATTCACTGCCTGAGAAGCTCCAAAACTGGGATTTCCTACCTGTCTGGATGCACTCTCTAGAGCCCTGGGACAATGTACTGATGTCTTCACTTGCTTTTTGTGGGAAGCACTGCTGTGGCTTCTGCAAATGTTGCAAAGTCAACGTTGAACGGGAGGGTGCCAAAGACAACCAGCTAAAAACTATGGAAGTTTATGAAAACACCATGGCTATGGGTGATGAAGAAAGAGGTGGAAGAAGGGCTCCATCTGTAGCTTGTGTTGACAAAACAGGCACAAACAACACAGCCTTATAGTACTGGATCCACGTATAATAGCAAAGACACAGCATAGGACAGTCAGGCTCATCAAAACCACCTTGGACCTTGCACTGAGAACAGAGTGAACATTTTGTTAGGTTTCTGATGCCAGTGATACATCACTCCTCAAGGAATGGAGTCAAACAAGCTTGACAGAGTCCCCAGAAAATCTATGCTCASTTGCAAAGCTAATGACAGATTTGCTCACAGAGGATCTACTATGTGGTACCTTCCTCCAATGTTATCAGTAGCAAACAAAAGAAATTCTGATGTAGTCCCATGAAGAGAGGGATGAAAGGAGTGGCAATCAATTCAAACTTAAAAACCAAATAAACAATGCACTTGTAGAACAGCCTTTCTGACCTACTGACTCAGCAGAAATTACTTCATAATACCTGAAAAGCACTGGAAAAAAAAAAAAAAAAAAAGAAAGATAAAAAAAGAAAAAGAAAAAAAAAAAAAGGAGGCGGGGGTGAATCTTAATGTTTTCATTGGCCTGTCTGTAGTGGTCAAAATGGAAAACAGTAGCTTTCCTAGAATAGACAAAATCTATTCTATATGTGTGAAGGAAAATGAAATGCTGGGACATTCTTCAGAAGCTCTGGCATAAGGGTGCACATGAGCCCATTTGGAACCCTTYCTGTCTCCTTTAATACTAGGAGCAGGAGTTACAATTCTTTATTATCTCAAACTAATGATCAGAAAAGTAATTGCTGCTCCCTCAGTCCATTAAGCAGTTAGGTTAACAGGTTAAGCGCTGTGTTTGGAAAYGTCGGGTGGCTACCAAAGGTCTTGACTGACTGAGGATGTGGTTGTGTGGCCATTCTTCTCTCTAGATGGTCCTCTTCAGTCCTGTTCACCATGTAATCCCACAACGATGGAATGGTGCAGGAAGGAGGACAAGTGGCCGGAGAGGAGAGGAGTGGAGAGGAGAGGAGAGGAGAGGAGAGGAGAGGAGAGGAGAGGAGAGGAGAGGAGAGGAGGAGAGAGCTGTGCCAGTCTGGGCTCTTGCCAGGAGATCTGTGTGCAGCCATGGCTCCATTTGCCTAAGCCACAAAATGAGTTTTCACAGTAGCAGTGGAGACTGTCTAGACCTAGAACAGAGGGAGCCTGCAGAGCAGATAAYGGCTAGCACAGGACATCTGGTAACATTTACTGGAGAGAAAGAGGTTTTCACCATCCCTCTGTGCTCTGAAYCGTCCTACTTGGAAATAATGTGAATTTTACTGCAATTGTATGTAGCAATCCAAATCTTGAATAAAATCCACAAGGAGTGTAGTCACTACAATGTCTAGCAAATCCATAGGTAGTACAATACTTGKCGGGAAGCTGCTTGTGCTCAAATTTTGCCTTTATTGATGTTTTACTAAATGTTTGTGAGATTGCTCTGAATGATGGGCTGACAGAAGGCATGATTTCAAWGTCTGGAAAAGAACATTTCAAAGATGCGCTCAGCACTTGTGCTGGCCTTCAATAGCTTAGATATTAGTGAGTATGGAATAATATCCAAAGTCCAATCATTAACATTAACATTAAATAAAAAAAAATTAGGTGGCAGAGTGTAATTGAGGCATCATTTAAAACCTCTTTAGGTGGCTGAATTTTACATYAAATCTCCAATGAAAATGCTGAGCAGACCCTTAGTGTAAAATAGCCACTCAGTGCTGCCAGAACACAATTACTTTTGAATAGTTGTTTTCTGCAAAGCTAGGAATTCAGTAATCAGGTAAATACATTCATTTTAGAAGTGAAAATTGTTTTCATTTACTTTTTTAGACTAACATTAAAACTGGCAAACTATGTGTTTGCGAATTGCATTCAAAATGAGATTCCAACTGTTTCTGTAATTGTGAGCCAGTGACAAAACTTAGAGTGAATTTCCAAAAGCATCTAGTTTTGGTATAGTTCTTCTCTTTTGGAGTGTAGTAGCAAACAGCAGAGTTACGTCAAATGTTCTTTTTAAAGTTATTTTCCTTATCCTTCATATAGTTGAAACAGAATTTTGTCAGCATCTCATTTTTAAAGTGGAATTTTTATATTTTCAATAATTCCTCATTTTATTCTCACAATTCTGGATGCTTTTTGAGTCTGTTTCTTTAAATCCCAGTGTGAATTTCCCATGCACTGTTTCTTTGGGAAAAATATGAGGAAAATATCCAGAATTCTTTTCAAGTTATCTCGTTTCCATTGACCACCCACTGAAAGAGGAAACATTTTAGCCTACTTTTACTCATTTCTAAAACAACGTGCACCTTATTTTGCTTGTTGAAGTAAAGCCATCAAGAACAGTGATAATAACTGTGGGAAAGCAATTCTTACAAAAGAATCAGGGTAATAATTGTCAGACATATCAGTACTTTAGGGTTCCACTTTGTAATGTGTCCCCTATGATCTCCTCTCCTCTGGCTCCAGGCCATATTGTGCCATTGTGTTAAGCAGATTCCAACAAATATTTCTGTTTAATACTTGACAGCACGATATGTCCTGGTACGCTTCCCCCCGCACTCTTACTAAAAGATATTTACACTTTATTTATAATTGTTTGAGTGTACAGATTTTTTTCATAAGTTATAGAGAAAAAGGCTCGTGATTGTGTTATATATTACATATTTGAAAACTATGCAATGTTTATCTATAAAAATGTAAAAAGGAACTAGTGTATATTTTGTAATATAACTTTTCAATTGTTTGTAACTGTGTACACTGTATTATGGAGGCTCTTGGCTCCATCAATAGGTTACTTACAGATTGTGAGTAATGCAGAGACAGATTTTTAAAGAGCAAAAAGAACTATATACTTTCATAATATGGCTTAATAGGCAAGGATATTAAACGCTATGTTTCTAAAACATTTGAATTTTCTGTAATGAGAAATTTTGGAGATACAATGTTTCTAAAATACTTTTTTAAACTCTTAAAAACTTTATCTTTTAACTGTTTCAAGGACAGTATATGTCTTTATATTTTGTCATGAACATTCATCTCATCTGTCCTCATGCATTGAATGTAAAAATAAAGAGAAGTTTAAAAAAAGAAACATCTTTTCATAATATCTATTTATAAGCGTATCATGGAGTCTTGCAGAAAAATAAGTATTCAGACAATACTTCTAGCTGAGCTGATGCAATGTGCAAGAAATGAGGAGGTTATTTTAGCACCGAACACTAAAGAAAACACCTGTGTGTCCAATATTTTCATATGAGTAAGAGATTTTCATATGGAGAAAAATAAAAGAATTGCTCTGTGCAGTTGTGTGGGTTAAGACATTTTCTGGCAGAATGCTACAGGCTGTCCCTAGTGATGGCAAGCATGGAAGAGTAAAGGCAATGCTATTGTGGCAACAGGATGCATGGTGAATTACCACAAATTATCTATATCACTGTGCTAGGCTCAGATTCTTCCTGTATTCCCTGGCAAACAAAGTRTTTCCAAAATGCTCCTTATACCCCATGACCTGAGTGATGTCTGGTTTATAACTGGACAAAAATATCCATCTTAGTATTTTTTTTAAAAATCACACATGACCTATGGAGCTTAAAATCAACCAGACAGAGAGAAATAAAAAGTGTTCTTTGAATACATTAAAGATTAGTGAAAATGTTATTAGATATCCTAATTATAAGCTCAACAGTAGCTTAGGAACCAGGCCCAAAAACACCTCTTATTCCCAATTACACCATGTTTTAATGAAATGAAGATAGCAGAAGTATTTTGTGTAACACCAATATTTATGCATTGCAGTGTAAACTGGCTTCTTCTGAAAATGCAGTTAGCACCCTAGGCCCGTGATTTAAAATTTACAGGTCCTTACACCCAAGCATAAATATGGGAATTCATCACCTGCCATGASTCGCTGTTTGCTGGGAACCAAAACGCACCCAGGACATGTGCACACCCACCTTTCCATTTCCAAAGGGCCTGGGACAAAGTTCAGCAATGCCTATCACTATTTAACCAATAGCAGTTAAGTCATGGAGCTCTGCACTCATCAGAAGCTTTCAAAATGTGCAAATAGAGCTCCAGCTCATTGCCTGTTCTGTGCCCTTCTCTCCTCCACTTTCAACTTAACCATGTTGTCCACAGCTCCTTTTGGTGCTTTTTCAGTCTCAGCTGAAGTGCCACATTTGCTTCCCCYAGTTTCAAACTCTTCGGAACACTGCACTGAGCTGCACAGGTCTGKCACTGGGGAGTGTTCTTGTTGGTCTGAAATGCTGGTTAAATGCTGGTTAAATGCTTCATCATCTCTTCCTTCATCTCACCACGTAGTGGTGGGCACCCAGCCAGGTCCTTAGGGCAGCCGCTCACTGTGCTATCGAGAAAGGCTGATCTCTGATTTACACCAAATTATTTGGGGGTGCAGGCTGCTGTGCTACCACTGGCTGGAGCTGAACCAATCAATAGCACAGGATCTGATCAAGTCTGTTAAAAATAAATAGTCTSCAGTGCAGAGCAAAAATCCAGTGTTTCAAGAGCAGCAATGAAGGACACCACGCACATAGCAGGGAACACCAGGCCGTGTTTCGGTTGCATCATCTCCCTGGGCTGTGCTTCCATGTAAGTGCTTTATCTGCATTCGGATGTTTTTTCACTGATGGCCACTCCTGGTGTTGCCACATGCCAGAGGCATGACACCGGATGTGTCAACCCACTCATGGTATTTTCACAGTGAATATTCYGTACATCTGTCTCTCTTTATGACAGTTCTACTGCAGCAAACACGGGGTCCATATGAGAGAACTGAGTGTTCACTTTGCATACTGGACAGTCATCACACTGATTTCATGGAGCTGTTTCCCCTAACAACTGGGATCCGAGTGTTTCAACAAGGCAGAGAAGCAGAGCAAAGGCTAAAATTAAACTGTCACAAGCATTGTGTCTTACTCAGCACCTGATGAAATTCCCTAATTGCCATTTACACTTTTGGTGCATCCATCTCTTTACATGGCTCAATGTCTAAGGACACATTACCGTGACATAAACAATCGGGGTAATTACAGGAGCAGATATTTTGCAACCAACACCACTGTTGATAGACTGGGGGTTTTGTACACAATGCAAAAGGCATAAATTACAGGACATGCAAACAATTTGTGGGCCAAATGCTGCACTTGGTGAGGCAATGTGTGGCCATAAWTGACATTAGGAAAATTGGTGCTGAGGTGAGTGAGGAGAGCATTAAGTCCTGTTTTAACTGACTAATGCAGTGGCCTGAGGCGCTGGATCTCAAATTGTTGCCAGCTTGGAGGCTGGCTCTGGTGTTGCATAGTACAAACAAATGGTATAGGCTCTTGGTKCTTGCTTCCTGTCTTATTCCATCTGAAAAGATAATCTTAAGGATACTAATAGCACAATTTCCCTGTCTTCCTCAAAGCCTTGCTAGAACAACCTCAAACACTCCCCAGCAGAGTAGGACGCATAGGGCTGCTCCACCCACGAGGTGCAGAGCACCTTCTGGCCTGTGCTTGAGGACACAYGTGACACAAGGAGCATTTCTGAAGAAAATGCCAGCACAATGGCTCAGGTCTCARGTTTGTATGCTGGAAGTGGGAAGAAGCTGAGTCTGAGTATATCTTGGGGAAATCTGCTTAGCCTGGTTGCTGCCTTTGGYCAGGTTGGGCATGTCCCCATTGCCCTCAGAGCTGAAAYCTCTATCCATGCACAGTGGAAAGAAGAAATCCCAAGCAGYTCACAGTGTCTCAGATGGGACCCCATGTCTGCCTCCAGTCCTCTGTGCCTGTGGCAGCTCTTCCTCCTTCCCCTCAAACACGTCAATGCTGCTGAAACAACGAACCCCCAAGGTGGTGCTCACCCAGCCTGGGAAAAGGAGGGGCAGGGAATGACATTTTGTTTTGTCCCCTCCCTCCATTACATTGCAAGCCTGGGTAGCTGGGCATTGASGAGTCACAGAGTAGGAGTGGGGCTGGGGGAACAGAGCTCCAAAACAGGCCAGGACTTCTGGGGGTGGGATGAGCTGGAATTGGTTCTGGGGCTGGGGGGCTGCATGGGCCAGGTGGGTAAATGGCTGCATGTGCACAGGAGCAGGCAGGGAGCACTTTGCATTTAGCAGCAGCAATTYCAACACTACCTTGAAACACATGGAAAGGAATAAATTTTACTTCCTTTGCAGGAAAACAAAATGCCTGGTGAACCAAACAAGGCATGCTAAGCCCAGATGCGTGGAGCTGGCAGATCTTCTCTAGGACACTCATGGGGCTACMAAGCTGAGATGTTACAGCTAGGAAAACATTATTGAAACCAGAAACTGAGAAACAGTCTGAGACATTAATTGTGTGGGTCATTCAAAGGCATCATTAATCCCTCCAGGGAATGGGMGGTCTGGTTCTTGGTGAATCTGGAGATTCTGATTAAGTGGTCTTCTACTATTGCTGTGAGCTGTCCTGTGAAGGGTATGAATATTGCCTGAGAGCACCATCAACAGTCTTACTCTGTCAGTAAAGCTAACTTGTTACCAAATCGTATTCAGCTGCCCYTCTTGAATGTGAGTCAGAGGTATCATACCCGAGAGGCAACTTTTGAAGTTGTTAAGATGTCTTGACCATGTGTAACAGCTGATTTGAATAAATTACATGGGGCCAAAGCCTAGTGTAAATCTTTTGGGCTTTCTTACGCCATGTGCAGCATTACCTTGCCAGGGAAGACCTGTCACACCATACTGGCAGGAATGTTTGAAGCTGCATTTACTCAGCCTTTGTCACTTTTAATTAAAACTCATTTTCAGGACACCCCATTGGGTAATTTCTGAGCAAGAGTAATTAATGAGATGTTCAGTCAATGAAAAATGTTTCTTCAGAGGCACTAGATGATGTCGCTGAAGGTGTTCTGGGGGTCAAAAATTCAAGCTGGAATGAGCTGGAGGTACCACTCAGCCAGAGCATCCACAAAAGCAAAACACAGCCCCTGGGTGCATTATGGCATTTGTAGGGCAGTGAACACTTAGGAGCTGGGTCAGGATGCAGCAGCCAGGTCTGSTCTCCTGGAGCACTCCCCATATTCACCCCAGCAGTGTGGAGGAGCTGTAGGATCTCGAGRGCACCCAGATTCCTGGGGATTTGGACACCAGGGCTTGGGGCTGGCTGAGAAACAGGGAACCATCTAAAGGGAGATSAGTGGGGGCTCCTCCCTCTTTTGTTCAGTCACAGAATAAAGCCAAAATGAGTTGTACGAAATACTCTGTTCCTCACAAGACAGTGAACACTCATTGATTTCAGATCGAATTTAGCATTTTAAAGGCTGGTAACCTTTTAAAAGTCGACAAGGGAGACTGGGTGGCAGAATCCTTGTAGTATACAGACAGCATCTTCAATGAAGTAAACCCTGGTTAAAGGAGAATATCACAGAGCTCAGAATGGATTTCACATCTGACCAGTTGAAAGGGACATATCAGCACCATCTGTTGGCATGTCCTGGCAATTCTCATAGTTGCAAATCCCAGAAGAAATTTAAAATTTCCTCACCTGCACCACGTGCCTCACTCACCTCAGGAGGAGGCGCTGACCTTGGTCTCTGTGGGCACAATTTTCAATGCCTGAATGGGGGCACTGTGGGTTCYGAGTCTCTGACCTGCAAATGACTGGTAGGATAACTGCTGCTGGGTAAGAYACCACAAGAGGACAAAATTGTTTTTATTTTTAAATAATCACATGTATTTCCATACATGGAAATAAGAAAATGAAGTATAAATGAAAAATAATGAAGTAACCCTCAAAATGTTACTTTATATCTACTAAATTACAAATGAACGCCATTTGAGATGGGCTGGAAAACTTCTTTCCTGCTAAAAGCTTCAAGCAGSTTTTCAGCTTAAAAAGAATGAGAAAAATTGCCCTAGAGAATAAAGTATCTGAAGCTGCTAAATCAAGGTTCCTGGGGCACAGCTGGGGAGGCTTAAAAGCAAAATAAAGTGATTGAAAACAGCTGAAAAGTGACTGAAGAAAACTCTTGCTATGATAATCAGCTTTAGGTTTGGTGGTACGAGCTAGGAGCAGCTCTTGAGTTTGTGTGTCTGAAGGATGACTCAGGAGACAGGGCTGCTCCTGTACACACATTCTGACACTGTGGCTGTTTAATGACGAGGTAAGTGTCCAAATTTATTATAATTTGGCACCTGTTACTTGGTCTGAAGACATTGTGTTATAGCAGGAAGCAATGRGGTTTCTATGCAGAGTATTTTCTTGAACCAGAGGAGATGGAGTGGGGGAGGAGAATATTTWTTCCTTGAGCATATTAGCAAAGCTCTGAAGGATGTACTCATTGAGGATATTTTAGTTGACTTTTATTGCAGTTGTGTTRTTCTTTTTATTCTTGTGTGGAGGTTTTGAAAGCAGTCAAAACTTGCTCTGGTGGCTCTGTGGTGGGCATGATGGGAAAATACCATTTAATTCTTTGTTGTGTCTGTAAGAGAAAAAAAAGTCCAGTCTTTGTGCAATGATATCCCATTTCTATCAGAAACTGTCCTGCTAACTGTGTACAATATTTAATCTGAGAGTCAAATGTTTAAGGGAACAATCTAATTCTTCACGTTTTTGTTGGCGGGACACAAATCCTGAGGACACTGTTATGAGTGTTTCTAGCAAACACAGATCTCGAAGGAGGACACTGAGAGAATGATTCTATGTCCTCAATCTAATGGAGGGAAAATTGATTTTTCTTGTGATGTAGACTATGCACCTCATGAATTCATATCACCTGAGCCAGTAAATGTATGCTGGTGTGGAACTGCCCTTCAAGAGTCAAGACACATGCTGGGGCTGGTAACAGAGAAACTATGGCAGAAATATGGAACATTTACAGAGTACAAACAGCAGACCCCAGCCCTGCCACATCCTGGACCAGTTCTGTTCAGACTCTGAGATGCTCCTGTGGCATTGCCACTCGACATCAACAATCTAACGTGGCTCTGAACTCCAGCTGGGTTCAAGAAGTGTTGCAGTCTGGACTTCACCCAGTATTGCTGGCTGAAAGGGGATGGTTATCTTCTCCCTGAAGAGTAGAGGTCAACTTCCTAATARCATCTGGGATAGTCCATGCAAGGATGAACCATTATTGAACGCTAAGTCTTGACTTGTGCTGCATATAAGCTTCCAGGAGGATATCCTAAGCTCTTCTKTGTTGTTATTAACAAAGTCACTGCATTTATCAGAGAAATACAATAAAGACCCAGAGAACTGCTCTTTTCTTTCTGTATAAAAGAGTGATGGAGACTGTAAAAGGCTTTGGAATACWCTTAGGACTCCACTGACTGTGGAGTTTGTGGGGTTTTTTTTGTGTGTCCTTGTTCCTTTTGTTTTTCCTTTTTGCTTCAGTTTATGGACAGTCAAACAAAAATAGCTTTCTTCTACAAAAGCACAATACTCTGGTGTTGTTTGTTGTGCTGGTCTTGGCTGAATTAATTTTCTTTATAATAGTTGCTATGGGGTCATGTTTTGGATTTTTGCAGGAAACAGCATTGACAATATGGAAATGTTTGCATAATTGCCAAGCAGTGTTTACACAGTGTAAAACCCTTTTCTGCTCCTCAGCCCATCCCACCAATGGGGTGGCTCAGGGTGCACAATGAGTTGAGAGGTGACACAGCTGGGACAGCTGTCCCCAGCTGACCCAAGGGAGATTCCATCTTGCTGAGCATATACAGGTGGGGGAAGAAGGTAGGGGAGACATTTGGAGCAATGATGTTTTTCTCCCTGAGTCACTGTTATGTGTGGTGGAGCCCTGCTGTCCTGGGGATRTCTGACCACCTCCCAGCCCATGGGAAGCATGAAATAATTCCTTGTTTYRCTTTGYCTGTGTGCATGGTTTTGCTTTACCTGTTAAACTGCCTTTTTCTCAACACACAGGTTTCCCCGCTTATATTCTTCCAGTTCCCTTCTCCTGTCCTGGAGGAGTGTGTGTGAACAWGTGGCTCTGTCACTTAGTCACCTGGTGGGGTTAAACCATGGGTGAGATAAATATCTAAGATCTTTTAGATCAATTATTCTTTATTGAAGTAGCATTAATATTGTGTATCTTTAAAAGCTGCATCTTGAACACTTYTGTCCTAGGCGTGTATTTGTTAACGCTAGTGCAACCATTTGTATTGTTTCAAGGAAATACTTTCATTGGAGTCAGTGAAAGAGTCAATTGCAGGTATTTTATATATTTGCAGAAGGAGCCTTTATTAAACCCAGACTSCCATCATCAGCCTTTCAAACTGTTCTGGAATTATGAGGCAGGTGCACAAAGCACAGGCTCGGTATCTAATCTTTTGTGTTCATCTGTGAGTGGTGGTGGGGTAGGTGGGTGCCTGGGGGATTTGAATGTTATGGTTTTGATAGGTAGACTTATAGCCATAAAAATAATTTTATCTGAAAGAGGGATTTTTTTTTTTATGCACATACCCTTAACAAGCATTTCCTGCATCACAGAAGAATCTAAATTTTCCTGGGACAGTGGCATTGAAGCACAAGGTACAAATAGGCAGAGTAGGAGGTGGGGGTTTTCAGGCTAGTCTGGTTCCTTCTTTTTTGTCTCTTTCTTGCTAACTGAATTATCACATRGGGTGACAAAGCTTTCTTAGAAAGGTTCATAGGTATTTTATTAATCAAAATGCTGAACAAGGTGTTTCTACCTGTCATATCAGTAACAGAGCATAACCAATTCTATCATCCACTATTCACTGCAGGGCTGATASGATCCAAGTGCCAAGGATATCCTGTGCACTGGCACCGGATATTCGAGATATGAAAATGAAGCTTTTTATCRCCTTTTAATGTTGCAAAGGCACAGAGGGTATGTTTGCAGAACACACTAATGCAGTGTCAAGCAGGATAGAAGAATTTGCCCTAGGAGAGCCCGAAAAACAGGCTGGGCAGCCTCTGGCCCCTGGCACCAAGAGCTCCCACCTGCACTTGCCATGGTTATCTCTGCATGGCTGTCACTCCTCTGGTGGATTTCRGCCTCTGTGAGGACAAGCTTTTAATCAGTGTACATCACCACGTTTAATTCCCTTAGACCTAACTGGGTATCTGAAGAATGTGGCAATTACTCTAGGCTTTGGAATATTTGGATTAATTCTAATTTTTGGCAGCTTTTCAGGTCAGTGAATTAACTTTTGAATATTGGCCTGTTAGTGCTTCTGAAGGCTGCTGGTGATTTTRTATATAAACTTATGGATTGGGGTCAGACACAGCTGAACAGTAAAGGCTTAGAAAGATCTGGAGGAAAAGTTTCTGATCACAGAATTCCAGAATGGGTCAGATTGTAAGAGACTGAAGTTGGTTAATTATCTGGTCCAACCTCCCTGCTCAAGCAGGGTCATCCTAGAGCACATGGCACAGGATTGTGTTTGGAACACCTCCTGTGAGGAGCACTCCACAGCCTCTCTGGTCACCCTGTTGCAGTGCTCAGTCACCCACACAGTAAAGAAGTTCTCCTCATGTTCAAGTGGAACTTCTGTCAGTCTCTGCCTCTTGTCCTGTTGCTGGGCACCCCAGAGCAGAGCCTGGCTCCATCCTCCTGGCACCCTCCCTAAAGACACTCACAGACATTGGTGAGGTGCCCTCTCAGTAATTTCTTCTTGAAGCTGAACAGGCCCAGCTCCCTCAGTCTGTCCCTGTAACAGAGATGTTCCTGTACCTTAACCATGTCTGTAGCCCTCCCCTGACCTGTTCCAGGGGCTCTGTGTCTCTCTTGTACTGAGGAGCCCAGAACTGGACACAGCACTCCAAATGTCTCTCACCAGGGCTGAGCAGAGGGACAGGATCCCCTTCCTCAACCTGCAGGCCCTGTTCTCCCTAATGCACCCCAGGACCCCATTGTCCCTCTTGGCCCCAGGGGCACTGCTGGCTCATGGGCACCAGGACCCCCAGCTCTGCAGCGCTGCTTTCCAGCAGCTCAGCCCCCAGCCTGTGGTGCTGCATGGAGTTACTCCTTTCCAGGACCCTGCATTTGCCTTTGTTGAATTTTTGATTGTTCTTCTCTGCTGATGCCTCCAACCTGTCATGGTGAGAGACAGGGTCAAAAGCCTTGCTGAAGTTGAGGTAGAGAACATCCACTGCTTCCCCTCATCCATCCAGCTACTTGTTTCATCATAGAAGGGAACCAGTTTGGCCAAGCATGATTTTTTTATTCTTAGTGAGTCCATCCTGATCATCTTTGTGCCATCCATGTGGATAGAGGTGACCTCCAGAATGARATGCTCCATCACTTCTCCAGGGATTGAGGTGAGGCTGACTGGCTGCTCCTTGCTCTTTTTGAGGGATGGGGTATCATTTGCATTCTTGCAGTATTTAGACACCTCTCCTGATCTCCATGACCTTTCAAACCTGATTGTAAGTGGCCTTGCTGTGGTGTCTGCCAGCTCTCTCAGCACACAGGGACTTGTGGAAGTCAAGTTTACTGGGGTGTTCTCTAACCTAATTCTCCTTGACCAATGGAGAGTGTTCTTTCTATCCTTCCCTTCCCTGGTCTCCTGGGTCAGAGATCCCTGAGGGCTGGCTCTTGTYAGTGAAGGCCAATGCAAACAAGGCATTTGGTGACTGCCTTTTCTGCGTCCTCCTTTACCAGAGCTCCCCTTCATTCAGTGACAGGCCCATGTTATCCCTTGTTTTCCTTCCAT